GACTTTTTTGGGCAGCTTTCAAAAGCAGCTTCTGTTTGAGCAAGCACCCATACCTTAGCTGTGAGAAGAATCACTCCCCAAATCCTCCCTTCCCTCCCCCTTCCCCAATTTTATGTTCACCAAAAGAAAATTACAATTCTCAGATCTTACCCTTAGGCAACATCCTCCCTAGCCAGGATTTTGTTATAGTCACTCAGTGGGCACTGACTGTGATTTCACTTACGGAGGGATAGAGGCTTTTTACGGCACTCGGTATCGTGTGTCCGCACCACTGGGACAATTAACAGGACCATCCTGTAGAATTACTTACGAAGATGTCACACAGTGCCTATGGAACAGCGATGGGGAGAGAGCCATTTTTTTTCTCCTCCTGCATCCTCTCAGAAATAACGAAGGGCATAAACTACTCAGTGCGGCCCGGCAGAAGAGGAAATAACATCAGTAAATCACTAATGGAAATGCAAAACCAAACACCACCTCACGCAAAATGAGATGACAGACGGCTTGAGGAGCATGTGAGTGTCTGCCTGTGGCCTGTGTCTCTTCATCCATCAGTACTCAGCTCTCTCCCTCCAAAGGGCAGCCTGCAAAGCAGCCGTTTTCTGATCCGGGGTTTGGAGAAGACATGCCCCACAGCTTCCCCCTGGCCGGGCAGCGTGCTCAGTGGTACGCAAGACAACCTAACCAGCCAGACACACGTTAAACATGTTGGTTTTCCTGCACAGAGTTATCCTGTGGTGCTCTGCAATCAATTACTGTTATACCACCATCATTAATAATTTTCTTAATGAAAATGATTCTGTTGATCTCCGTTGTATTTTAATTATCAGAGTTAAGCATAATTACACTGCAGCTCTGAGCTGGCATGTAGACTCCTTTAGGGCGCAATTTTGTTTTAACACACTGATAATGTAATTTTACATTGTGTCAGTTGTTTAGTTATTATCCAGTCGTACAATTCCGCTGTATTCCTGATAACAGATAATAACCTTAGCACCTCCTATATCCTGAAGTCATTTAAAAAGCAATATTGGAATTTCACAACTAGCTAACTTAATCGCCTTATGATTTTATAATTCCCACAGCTAAATATTTGTACAGACACCCTGTTTTAACAATGCCACTAAACATACAGTATCCATACATTTCACATAAATGGCTTAAATAATATGCGGAAAAATGTCTGTTACATAAGCATGGTTTTCAGTCGGTGCAACTGTATTTTTCACACTGTTTCTATTCTAATCAGTTGTAATTCATTTTTTAAAATCCCTTAAAGTCCCAGTGGAAGATTTGCAGTTAATACCCAGCCCTCTCCTAGCTTGTGGGGGGACTCCCACCTCCGGTCCCAGAAATTCCCCGGGTCTGGTGCACACCTCAGTCAGGCCAGAATGCTTCTCAAGCACACTACATTGCAATGAACATACAGTACATGTATTAATACTTCCTACCAATATATCTTGCTTGAATTACTGAAACTCTGTAGTATGTTTTTTTTTGTTTTTGTTTTTCTTGAAAGAACACATTTATAATTGTAATTAAGCTACAAATTCCTAAAATCTGTCCTGAAAATTTCAGTTTCAGTTTCTAGGCCATCTCTTCAGTTACTGAATAGAATATTTTTGAAACATTAGAGAAGTTTGACATAAATGTTAAAACAAAAAATCCCACATACTTTAAATGCAATTACAGCTGTAAAAGTCTCCTTTCAAAAAAAAACAGAATAGGATAATGGCACATGCCATGAGTAGCAAGCTTGTATCAGAGCTTGTAAAAAGGGACAGTAATGAACTGGTTTTCGCTTTTCTGATTTGTCCTAGTATTGGGGAAATGCAGTTATAAAAAAATACAGATAGAAGTATGTGATCCTAGACTAAATAGAATTAATCTCAAATACTGAATAGTTAGTTATTCCACGGCTATTCACTCTGAATGTACTCTGATGTATGATTTTAAATAACTGGTTTATAATCTAAAAATTTATATAGAAGATGAACACTGATTCCACTGTAATAACTTAGCAACATAAACCTAAATATGCTCATCATATATATACACACATGTACACACACACTTTTTGTGTTTGCTTTCTGAGTGAAAATATTGTATGGGGAGTTTTAACGCAAACAGGGAGTTAGCCACCAGCTCAGATGTACTTTCAACAGGAACAACATGCCAGACTCCTCTCCCTGTGACTATTCTGTATGCAACACTTGAGGACTACAGCACCCACAGCCTCTAGTGACCTGGAAGTCAGGCTGACATTCCTGTGCTCTCCTGACAGATCTGGAGAAAATTCTGCTCTCACAGATATCAGTATAATAAGCAAAAAGGAAATATGGCATGTGCTTCTGAGTCAGCAACTGATCGACCAGCACCATCCACGTACTGCTGGCCAATTTTTAAACTTATTTTTCTCTTAGAAATGTGCCAATTTGCTCCACTCATCTCATCTTGGGTATAGCACAGAAAACAGCTCCCAGGTGACCAAATTTGCTCCATGTACAATTCCACACATTTATTCAGCTAATTGCTTTCAGAAATAACAATGTACTGCTAAGCAAACTAACAAAATTATACACATGCAACTACACCATAACATCGAATTACAACTAGATGCCAGCTGACACTGTTTCATTAGAAGTAATGGCACTATAGGAGACAGAAAGCTAACACAAATCAAGGCAATGCAATCTGGTATGATGAGATACAAATTGAAGGAAGAAACATTATTCTATTTATTTATTTTACCATCTTCTATTTGACATTGTTTTGTGACCCAAGCCAATTAATCTTCCTAGTACGAAAATCCCAGCAGAGCTCAAGGCAAGTGTAGGTGCTTAATGAATGACAGAGCAGCCAACTCAACATAAAGATGAACAGAATGTGATGAACGTAAAGCATACCTACAACTTATTTCTCACATTAGTTTAGTGAAGTAGCAGAGGTTTAACATGTATTTATAAATTAGGGCTCAAATTTATCCTCAACTTTAGTTATAATTTTCATCTGCAGTAGAGATAACACATTTCACCTTCAGCACTATATAACTGTTGCAATACCTTATTAACCAAGTACTAAAATAACCAGCATCATCACCGAAATAAAATCCAGCTGTTTGAATGAAAAGACCAATGTTGTGGGCTATTCAGATTGCACCAAAGTAAAGAAAGTTTTTTGTATTTGAAAAAAAAATAAAAATCATGTTTCAATAGATTTAATCAGACAGATAGTACTGAAACTGTCTAATGAATTAGTGTTTGTAAAGTACTTTGAAGATGAAAAGTCTTACTGGTAAATATGGGCTAAGTATTATTAGAATTAGACAAAGAATGAAATACTTGATAAGACAATGTCCTATGGGAATCTGCAGAAGCTCTATTTTAGAGTGAAAGTAATTTCCCATTACATGAAAAAGTTGTTGCAGAAAAGTATGCCTGTGAGTATTCAATATCATGAAGCAAACTGCAGCTCTGGATTTATGGGAAAAGCTCCCTTATGTTGCTCAGAGCACTTTGCTGCTTCTTCCACCTGGGCGGCAATCAGCAAGCTGTGAAGGAAGGGCAGCCGAACCCTTTTTAGATGTAAGCCCAGTTTTCTAGTACTGCAGGTGTTTCAGGTTGCAGAATGAATGTGTTGGCATTCTGTAATTATAATAGAAAGAATTTATAAGACCCTGGTGTGCAACTCATTTTTAACATGCAAATTCCCTGTTTTCAGTGTTTCAACTTTCAAAGGCTTGTGGCAGTTTAAAAGCAATCCTCTTATAAGTGTATAAATTGCAATGATTATAGGAACAAGTTGTAATTGTTTCTAGTAAGTTTTTAGGAGTCTTTGATGTTATGATTAGTGTTTTGTATGTTAATATATTGATATGGGTGCTTATTTGCCTGGATGCTTGTATGCTGAAATGGTCACTAGGTTGCCTCAGCAAACAAATCTTTGATCTCAGTAGGTCTATTTGGTTGGAAATAAAACCTAAAAGAAATTAAACAAGAACAGTGCATGTTCTGAAATATTCACAAAGTGCTGAGATTGGTGATTGAAATACAAGGAAGGCAAGTCATAGTTTTGCAACCTAATCTTCAGGGGGAATGCTGAAACTAGCCACATGAAATAAGTTATTCCATATATTCAAGTAGTGTTTTGGTTTGGTTTATTTGTTTGGGTTTCTTTTAACATACTGTAATGACACCACAACATCATTTACAAAGCTTTCACAGTGAGTGACCAAACAGCATGGTGCATGGTCTACAGCAATACTGATTCAGTCCAAGGCTCTCTGGGTTGGTTCAAGATGCAAGACAAACGCTTTTGTATCTTGAACTGAAGTAGCTGTTAGATCTGGCAGATTAGACGAAGCATGTTTTGGGAGGGGGGGGGTGTCTCGTAAGAACTCATACTGAATTGAGCAAATCTGACAATTCACATAAGACAGAAATAATGTGCACTGCCACTAGCCAATATATTCCAGTGAAGCATCATCACATCATGACACTACACAGAGACTGGCATGTCAGAAGTGACAACTCTGAAATCCAGTTCAAGTTATCATCTGTTACCGTGCTGACATGGAGTCTTACCATAGTCCAATCAAGTTCACATTGTTCTTACAAAACCAGATTTCAGTTAGTAGTCTACATCATAATGTAACACATAGAAATGCTATCCAGTATTCCCAATAAAATGCAAATTCACCTTTTTAAAGTGTATAGATTTAATGATGCTTCCCCAAGAGGTATTAACTTTCAGAGACAAATGGGTGTTATGCCTTATGTCAGCTGATGTCCTGTGTTGATAAAGTATTCAGTATTCTACAGACACTGTGTGTGATTTTCATACCATTTAAAGAAAAAAAAAAATCAAAACCAGAACAGGGTAGGAAAATGGGAATGAAAAATGTTTGACTTTATTACTTAATTTTCCTATTATGCAACAGGTATATTTTTATCTCAGTACCTTACACAAGAAAGTAGAGAAAAAAATCAGCTTGTGTTTACCTTTGCTGTACACAATGCAGTTGTTTTTGTTGTCTTCTACTCCTTGCCAAGTCACATCCAGCAACCACTTGGGGCCAGCAGTCAATACCATAGGGACTGAAGCCTTTGTCTTCTGTAGGAAGGATGATAACAAACAGATGCCATTTGCTTGCCTTGATTAAGAATTTGAATAATAATAGTAATAATAATTTTATTTTCAAACAACAAAATCTCCAAACCCATAAGTGAATGTCTTATTCCTCTATCTCAGGATTTTTTTTTTAAGACGACATATGCAGTAAGCTTTCATTCCTTCATTGATTGAATGGTGAAACTATTACCAAGGATTTTTCCGAATGATATTGGATCAGATCTCCAAGATTAAGCATATCTCTGGTGGCTGAGAATTATAAAGGGAATGCAGATGACTTTCACAGCAAAGAGCCAAGTGTTTAGAAGTGAACTTTAGACACATTGTACTTCATTATCAATGGGATCTCACTATTTCCTGAAACAGACAGGAAAGAATTTAAAGAATCAGTATCCATTTCAAAGATCTGTCCTGGGTAACATTTGTATTATCACAGGAAATTGTTGTGCATGGAAAAGGGAATTTTTCCTCCTTTGCTAAGTGATGATGTGTGATATTACTATGTCTGAAATAATAATACTGCTAATGATTCATTGCACTTTGTCTCCAGAAAGACTAAAAAAGAAGTTATATTAATAAATTCAAAGGCACAGAAGTAAAACAAGACATCCATAGCACATGAAAGGCATGCAGGCAAGGAGACACGTGTAACAAAACCACCTCCCGTGTATATTGCAGATTCTGTATTTAGAGAATGTGGTATTTCAGGAAATAAGGTAGAGGCTTCAAATTTATTAACACTTACCTCCTTTACTAATCAAATGGCAAAACCCCTGTGGGTAATCCTGAGGTTGTCAGTATGTGGCACAGAGATGCCAATAAGACATCTGTAATTCACAGATCTTTTTCTCTATACCAAGCACAAAACCATGACAAAGTACAACAGTCACCACTGATTTTTAATTATTTTTTTTTTCTGGGATATAATTCTGACAAGACATTCCAAACTTTTCTAAGAGAATTTAATTATTTTTATATTCCACCAATAATTCTCTTGTTGGCTCTAGCTGGTAAAAATTTTGACATACAAAGAGTCATATGTTTAAAGGGTCACTGCAGATGCATTGGCCATATATAATATCCGTGTCTCATCTAGAAATGTAGTGAAGTATATTAAGAGTTACCACAGAACATATTGCATTCCCAAAATATGCAAAAAATATTTATTAAAAATAAGACACTATTTTAAATATTTTAGTGATATAAGATTGTTAATCTTTTATAATACATACTAATATAATTTGATACATCAATATTTTAATAATGATGATCAAATAAGGCATATTGAATGTCACAGCTCTTCATATTTTCTTCTTTTGATCTGTTTATGCTTTAAAACTGTTTTAGCAAATATAGTATTTCTTGCTTAATTTGCATTTTATATTTTGCATTTTTCATATGTTTATGTGTAAGTCACACTCCTATATGCTGTCCATGACATCATTCATCTTCTAGAAGTGTTGGAAAAAACAGATATAAATGAGAAATTAAATCAGTAAAAGGAACTGTAACAGCTAGCAACAATATACCTACATAGTGTAAAAATACTGCAACCAGAGAAATGCAACATCTCAATTCCTAGAACTGCTTTTCCTACAGGATGCTGAAGAAATTGTGTTTGCTTCTATGAAGTCTTATGAGCGTCAACCCAACTGAATGCATTTGAAGTATGAATTTAAATTCCAATTTCTAATTGGCAAGTAAACAAGATACCTTTTTTTTTTTTAATTTGGTTAAGTTCATATATAAATTCTCAAGAAGCCTGATATTACCAAGTATGAAATCAGTGCAAAGTATTCATTCACATATGGACTGCACAGAAAATGATGTAAATAAATGAACTGAAAAAGATCTGCAAGAGATGAGATGAAAGGTAATCAAAATATTATCTCTATCATTTATTATAGAAAAGTCTGGACTTCAGTGACAGTTACACCAAAACAGTGCAAATGCTGCTATGGAAACAAGGAAGAGTGGTGATTCTTCACACAGCTGAGAATCATACCCACATAAATACAAACTTTAGTATGAATGTTATCAACCATGCCTTCACAGCAATAATGAAGAGGAAGACAAGTACGTGTTCCTACCAAACACTGCATTTCTTCAACTGCCTTTTCAGTCAAGTGTTTAGCATATTTTTTTGCTTATATGTACTCTCAGTTGCTGGTAATCCCAAGTACGATTAAAAGACAGTGCAATATTATCCAGATAGTGGACTTTTCCAAGTATACCATAAATGATTAGACATTCAAACAAGTATTTATTTTTTAAGTTGGAGGCCAAGTTAAAAAAACAAAAGAAAACCAAAATTCTATTTTTAAAGTGCAGCAGGGATCATCTATTTAATTTTCACAGGATCTAATTCCCATTTCTAGTTTTCGTCTTCCTAGACATCTGACATCCCATTGTGTCTCTCCCATCTGTAAAGGTATTATTTGCATTAAGGTGGTATCAAAAGGCCTCAAATAACATCAGGATCTTGTGCTGGGCAATAGTTTGTTATCTACATAGACAGGATAAATAATATGTCCTGGGAAAAGATTATACTTAACCACATACTGCTGAGGAAGAAATGAGATGCTGAGATACCCTTTGACTTCTCATGGAGATTAATTTTTCCTTTAGTAAGTGGTAGGCTTAGTCCCAGCCCACTGCCTGTTTCTTCTAGACAACAAGAGGCTGGTGCCTCGTCCCTTCTGAGGTGAAGCAGCAGCAGCAGCAGCAGGTAGACTGAGCACCAGCAGTCAGGATGTGAATCTGATCTGCTGTCTCCCACTTACAGGGCTTTTTTGGAACTTAAAGAACTCCATGGAGATCACTAAGTCAGTTTCCAGGTCAGCTTGGCAGTAAAACTTGCAATCAGTTCAGCAGCTGTGAGTGGTCTCTAGGCACCAGAGATAGGCTGGAGGAGGAACAGGGTGTTTTGTCTCACAGCTCTGCTAGCCCACAAGAGCTGGTTGACACCTCAAAAAGAATTTCCCATTCTCCCATAGCTCTGCTCCCAAGCTGCAGATATGTAAATAAACTTCTTTTAGTATGAAAGCAAAAGTTCACAAGGCCCTGGCTGCTTATGAAGCTTGGCAGCTCCAATAAGTGAGACAGGCAATGGGTTTTCTTTGAAGTACCTCACAGACATATTGTGTGAGCTGCAAGACGAGTCAGGACCACCGCAGCAGTTCTTGGGGACTGGCATCCTGTGAGGCTCACACATTCACAGGAGGTGTTCACCACTGACAAAGGCATGCTCTTGTTGTGCCTTATTACATAGTAAGAATTGAAGTGAGCTTGCTGATTCAGGAAAGGACAGTTCCCTAAAATGGTTAAAATGAAAAGACCCCAGTCCAAGATAACAAGAAGCTATGGTTAAATCAGTCATGCCTTTATCACCTCAAGATTAGACTACTGCAATGCGCTATACCTGAGGCTACATTTTAAATCCATTTGAAAGCTGAAGCTGGTGCAGAACGCGGCAACCCGCTTGTAAGCAGGATACTGTGCTTTGAGCGCATTACACCAGTGCTTTTTAATCTGCACTAAGTGTCTGTGGGATTTAAGGCACTGGTTACTGGTTAACCTGTGAAGCCTGGAACCTGTCTATCTAGGATACCTAATTGAGACCTGCCAGCTCCTTCACCGCAACCATACAATCACAGACAAGATCCACTGAGAAACATGGAAAAGGGCTTTCTTGGCTTGACACAGAAGGGGTGACATATCCTTCCTGACAGCTCTTTACCTTTAGGACACCATTCCACTTCAAGTAAAGTATGCTCACAATCTGACTCTCAGAGTGCGCTACGAAAATCATCCTGTAATTCAGAAGATGTATTTGTGGTACTTAGCCGGTCGCTCTTAAAATGGTGGTGGTAGGTGTTAGCTACTTTATTCTATCTTTTTAACAGTGCTTTTAGGAATCTCTCTAGCTTAAGAAAGGTACCTTTACAAAAAAAGCTTTCTTGACACAGGAGTAACAATATTAACAGTGCATAAAAATTAAGACTTCAAAAAACAAAATTTTATTGCTTCCTCCAAAAGAACTGCTACAAACTACTGAGAAGCTTACAAAACATTCTGCCTACTGCTTAAGTACAATCATAGGGATCTGCTAACACAGGTGTCCACAAGATGAGGCCATAGAGCCATAACCTCAATTTTGGAAATGGGAGCATATTACAGAACCACAATATTGTTCACTGCTCTACACTAGATAAGTGTGTATTCTACATTTGAGTAATTTTTACCTGAAAATACAATTTCTGCTAATGTCTTCATGCCATAACTAGACAAATTTGACAAGGACAAACAGGGTCAAAACTGTGATCTCTCAGGGAATAATTAGAATCAGCTAATGAAGATAAAAGAGGTCAGGCAGGCATTCCCTTTTCACTAACCTTTGAAGCAACTGGACAAACAAGGGAGGTAACCCTCCATAAATGTTTATATCCAGTCAAGAGGTTAATGGAGATAAAAATAGCCATCACAGCAGGCCAAAATAGTTTTGCACTCTTGCTAAAAAGAATCAGTGCTGACAAGTAACATTAGATGGGCTTGTTCCTTCAAAGATTTCTAACATATGATGTGTGTGGCTTGGCAAAAACCTGAGGAAACCCCCATGTTGAAGAGAAATATGGTATGAGCAAGTTGGTTTAAACCTATGAAATTCTCAAATGCCTGATTGTTGCTGGCTGTTTCCAAGAAGTTCCAAGTGCCAGAGCAAGAAATAGATACTGAGCTAAGTTGCTGACAGTAAGTTGCTGTCACATGACCATTCTGTCCCAGGAAAGGTGTTACAAAAACATTATTTAAGGAGATGCACTTTTCATTGAAAAATCACTACATTTCTATCTGTAACTTTTTTTAATTTTTTTCTCTTTCATCAATACAGGGCTCTATAATGTCAAAACTACTTCCTTAAAGTACTCTCACCAAAACAGAGAAAACATGATGACTGAGGATACTCAAGGGCTTCTGCTTCTAAT